CGAGACGACATGAATGAAAACTTGCACATCACTGCCAAAAACATGGAAAAAAGCTTTGATTCAACGAAATGTTCAGGAAAACAATTTTACAAAGGCCATTGATGTGACAATTGATATCTGAAGCCTCTTAGAAGGATGAGGTGGAATGCTTCAAACTCAACAATGCTGGCTTTCAGTTATAAATGATTTCGAATTTGATTTTTATGATGCTTTTTGCTTTCAGGCTTTCCCTACGGGAAAGTGTCGAATCTTTATTGGATCTTTTTTGGCTTTTCACACAGATATCTACTTTGTTTGATCTTTGTTTGATCTTCAGCCTTTCAGAACAATAATTATCTTCAACAGTTACTCTTTTTGCTTCGTTATTCTTCTTCAGCCAGAATATTCAGGTCCGACATCAAATATTGACCTCTCCAATATTGGAAAATCGGAAACTTCTAAAACTCACTTCAAGTACTTCGATGTTTCCTACGAGAGCTAATTAATTTTAAAAGCATCGGGTCCTTTCCTAGCAATTCGCTAGATTGCTGAAAAAACTTCCAGACGGAGTTTAATTAAAAAAAGAGAGAGAATGAATAATTGCACTTATAATCGAAAAAATAATTGGGTCCATTAGTTTCCAGGCATTTCAGCGACTCAAACATTATGATTTGATAAATGAAAATTCTCAAATGGGCTCAAAGTTCTACAAAATTGCGTCTTTGAGACAAATTTCGATGACGTTGGGAATCAACAAATGTTTGTGCTTGGGATTCGATAAAGTCGATGAAGGCCGTTATTGCCTGGTCCTCATTGGCGAAGATTCTACCAGTGCGGAAGTTATCCAAGTGTCGGTAATTCTGTCAAATACAGATAACGAGCTAGAGAGTTACAAATAAACAAACATACATACATACATACAGGTGAAACTAATAAAAGCGTGTTAGAATTAAAAAAGAGGTTTTGGCTTTGGAACTTTTTCAAAAGAAGAAGTTATTCCAAAATGAACTCTTTACAGAGATATACAAATCATTTTTTGTATAAAGATGGAGATATACTACGCTGCAAATATACTTTTTTTGGACAGACAAAGTCGATCCATTTTCCATTACTGGTATGACTGAAATTCACATATGTTTGGAGATGAACATTTCTAGATTCCTGGCAATAGAATATTCATCGTGCAATGAGAAATGATGCAGTTTTATAGCCCCCTATGCCCTGTATAATTATTTTTGCACGTAGCTACATGATTCGTATGAGACGATAAAGAAATCATTCAGAAAAGTCGAGCCTTCGTCTCCCAATTCAGTCCATCATGATGACATTGATCCAGGAGTGTTAGACCTGGTAATGGAGGCAGCCATTCGCAGAATATAAAGGAATGATTTTGAGAACTTCAAACGTGACGCTTTGATCCATTTCAACCAATAGATTTTTTTTTGTAACTTCACGCTGGCAGTTCGATATCACTGATGCAAAATCGCCAGAATCACGATGCAGTAGTTGGAGGGGCCTCTTCTTTGATGTCGTGCTAATATAACGTTTGTTGGCAAATTCAAATTGCAAATACCGCTCGAGCATGGTCAATATCAATGTCAATATGAAGGAACGTGCAGATCTGTTTGTAGCTTCCATGTCGAATAATACAGATCAAAGATCAATGATGGCGAATGCCTGTATTTCAGGTATTCGTGGATTCTGCTGTTTCAAAGGAAGAGAACGAGTTGCGATGGGATCGTATTCTCAGAGCGATGGGTTTTCGAGAACCAAACGAAATTATCCACGAGATTTTTCAATCTACTTTTACGAGGGTGGTCTGAAAAGTTTCCGATATAACAAAGAGTTTGTTTGATAGATCAAAATACTTCAATTACTCTCACAGAGACCAGTCAACAATAAACATCATTTCCGTTGTTAACTCGCGTAATGAAAATAATTCCAGTTGTAAAACAGAATGTTCCTGACGAGAACACGACCATGAAATTATAGTAACTGCAGCCGTAAAACGACAATGGTATGACCATTCGGGAAAACCATCTGTATGATGTTTATCCTCGATATAGAGGACTCATAACCAATGGAATTGCTCTTCTAGAGACTTTATGTTTTGATAACGACCTCATATATCCTAGCTCCGATGAAATGTTGTAATGATTCAGTTGAGATATTCTCCGTCAATTGCAAGGAGGTTCACGTTTCATAAACTTGAGATCGGGAGCGAGGAATGTGGAATGAGAAGTCATATATTTTCATTTGTTAAAAGAGAGGAGGATTTTAATGAATGTGAAGTTGAAAATTGTGTGTGTATGATACTGGAAAGCTAAGTCTGTTTTGTTGAAATATTCCACTTTTCAAGGCCACAGAATCGATTGTTCTGGAAATTTTACTTCGAAAATGTTATACCAGGTACTCCTATGCGGACTGTAACCAGGACTTACCACGTTTGGTTCACCGGAGGGCATAATTCAATAAAAATTACTCATTCAATTCCATTTCTTTACTAAATCCATGTAAAGAGCATACATTGCTATTGGACAAGTCACAAAGAATACATTTTTAATACAATTGCCAGAGTATTTACCAAAAAAGAACAGAAAGAAATTACCCAACCGTATGGGGGCAAGGAATGGGATTTTTTGGTGAGCAGAACCAGGTGGAATATGAGCTTCTTTTGAGCTCTGAATAAAGGTTTTCCATGTCGGAGTTGTTATATTATAGAATTATATTATATAATTGTTATTTTCAGGTAGTCAAGTTAATTTCATTGATTATTTCAGGTATTTCAAATCATTTCATACCATATTAGATAATGGAAGTCCAAACCAATGAAATTTATAATCATTTACCTTTCTTATGGGACTCTTCCTGAACAATAAAAAGTTGACAACAAACCTTCGCATACCAGAACATGTATCTTTATCTAGCTCTTCAGCTTATCTCGTTCAGGGCCTGGATCCTGCACGACAATTAAGCCAGCAGACGGGAATTTTTATTTATATTAGAGACGCTCCTCTCGGCCTGACCCACGCTGTAATTGCACCTGAATGACGGACGCATCAGGTCGAAATGCCAAACTTGACAATTTTCGTCGAGAGAACCGACAAAAGCATGGCAACACGTAGATGGTAGACGTAGACGAGAATGTCACGGGCGTATGAAGAGGTTCCTTTCTAGTTTTCGGCTTGACATTTTATCCGGTGACATTCGACTGTAGCTATATATACAAGGCGATGTCGAAAGGTTACGACGGAAAGTTCATTATCGGGGATTTATTATTAGTGCGGGAGGATAAATAATATTACACTGTATCTTAGCAGGGATCTGACTCGATTATATCATAGAGAGGTTATATAATAATGAATTCCAACTATGGAGGAATTCAAGTTTGAATATCACTCCATAAAATTCACAACATTGAAACACCAACAATTCTGTGACATTGGAGGTTGTATTAGGTAGATAGTGTCACCAAAAGTGACATTGAAAACTCTTTTAAGGAATCAAAGGGAATTGTACAGTCTGTGAACGTGTTTTTCTGGTAGATATTGAATTGAAAACCATTATTGACTCTTGAAATATTAAAATCTAAGAAGTTAAGCTCGTTTTTTTGTTCGATTTCTACTGTGAACTTAATTTTGTTATGTAGACCTGAGTTTTGCGGATAAAAATTATTATTATGTTTGAAGAAGTTTTGTTTCAGACGTATATCAAGAAGTTTGCGAAATTCGGTATTTATATATGGATTTGTATGACTCTTATCTAATATGTATTTCACGAGAGGAAGACATTCGTCTGTCGGAATATTGGAAAACATGTTTTTTAAGAATATGTTGTTTGGAAATCTCATGAAGAATTCAACAATGCTGTTTCCCACACCATAGGATGTAAAAAAGATGATATGCATGAATCCCCAGCCTCCAGAATTGCATGGATTAATCAAATTCCACAAAGAAGAACATCCAGCCAGACCCATGGTCTAAGATATAGATGTCCCAAGCAGTAAATTGTCTGAGTTTTTAAATTCAAGATTCAGAGACCTCACAATATTTAATCTTTCAAACACAGTTCTAAATTCAGTAGACCTAGCTGACAAATTATCAAATCTGAATATCAAAAATAATATGAAACTAATATCATTCGACGTAAAAACAAACGAATGTTTGATTCATGTCGTTTTGTGTTGGTGTTGTCTCCGAAATTTTCGTTGTTTTGTTATGTTTTTTATTTTTTTTGAAATATGTATCTAATATGTCTGATGGTTTTTAAAATAGTACAATTATCAACACGAAAAAACTACTTTACGAGCCCTGAAGAAGAATTTAACTATTTTTTTCGAAGAATTATTGGGTCACTAAACTAGTTAACTAGAATACTCCATTCCCTTTAACTTGACAAACATTTTCTAACCAAAACATCTATAGAGAAACAAATTTGTGACCTACATTGAAACTCCTTCGGGTTGAATGAAGGACTTATCCGCAGGAATGGCCCAAAAAACCTTTTCCTACAGTCCAAACACGATTAGGCACTCAACCCTAGGATCACCCTGTCTTCTGCAGATTTTTCGTGGGGGATTCTCTTAATTATCGCCTGATGGCGCCTCATTAATTTACGACGCTCGGCGTCGTGTAATTCTAGCCTTCTCTCAAGTTCATCAATTATGAAGTATAAATACAAATTCCGCTGCCTTTGACGAAAACGAAATTAGAAAAATTCAGCTGAAGTATTTTGTTTGTTTGCCGAAAATATCGGGTGAAGAATTTACGCTCCAATGAGGTTATTGGGATTATAATTAGTTATGTATTGGTGATTTCCTTTTCCATTTGTCACGACGAGATATCAGTCAGTTACCCAGGCGAGACATTTCCAGTTTTCGATTTATCACACATACGAAATTATGACGAAGGAACTTATCGCCTTCGCCAATTTAGCAACACAAGTCGAATTTTTGGCGGACTCGCCGATTGCCAATGGGACAGTTTTCATACCAGAAACAAAGTATAGGAAATTGTACTCACCTTTATGAACCTCTTGGCTTTCGTTAATAGTCCTAAAGTCGTATGCCTAGATGCCTCTGGCCCCAGAGGTACTATATCTTTGAGTTTCTCTAAACAATTCCGCAGATGTGCTCGCCTGAAACAAAAACAAACTTGTTATTTCGGTCGGTCGGTCTAGGACATTTGAGAAAAAAAAAAGATCATTTGAAATATATCAGTCCAGTCAGACTAAGAAACAAAGTGACAGAAATTTTGTCATAATAATAATCATTTATTCGCAATAAAAAATACATATAGGACATTTTTCATTATTTACAGGTTTGCAGAGATTTAGGTACTGGCGAATATGTTTATGGCAACTTGACAACCACTTACAAACACGATGATTTGAATTATGAATAATGCTAGCAAATCAAATTACTCAAAACAGAAGAAGAAAATATAAATATGAAGGAAATTTAACCAAAAAAAGAAATGAACGAGGTAAGTCACGTTAGTCCTTAGCTCGCATAAGTTTTTCTGAGGGTTGTCGTTCGTAGGGGTGTGACAGCTGGTTAACGAAAAAAACATATTTCAAACATATTTTCTTTTGCAATATTCAGTTAGAAACATTATTCTATGTGCAAAATATGTGATTATCGTGTTAACTCAAATGAAGGGAGAATCATCACATAACAATTTTGAGGTACCACTTTCTGATGGTTTCTTGAAAATCTTCACTTCTACCAAATTCACCATTACAAAAAGGAACTACTTACACCAATTTTTAAAAGGGGTGAAGCAATGGTATTTGAATAGTTGGAAGAATGTACTGCTTTATTTAAGTGGACAGTAGTATTTGGAAAAATTGTCTCTTTTCAACCACTTTTCACCTTTACAAACAAGAATCGCTCCCACCAATTTTTGAAAGAGGCGAAGCAACAGTATTCAATGAAGAAAAGAGAAATGAAACTTTATATCTTTTTACCACTTTTATAGAAGTGGAAAGTTTCATTTCTCTTTTCTTCATTATGATTTCCTACCACGTAGTAACGGCTACATCTATCAATTTATCAACAGTATTCAAATTGTTGTAACAATGTACTGCGTCATGTAAGTGGACAGTAGTATTTGAAAATATTGTCTCTTCTCCACAACTCACCATTACAAACGAGAACTGCCCTAACCAACTTCAAAAAGGGGTGAAGCAACAGCATAACACTATTTGAATTGTTGTAAGAATGTACTGCTTCATGTAAGTGGACAGTAGTGTTTATGAAGATTGTCTCTTCTCCAACTCACCATTACAAACGAGAACTGCCCTAACCAACTTCAATAAGGGGTGAAGCAACAGTATAACAGTATTTAAATTATTATAACAATGTGCTGCTTCATGTAAGTAGACAGTAGTGTTTGAAAAGATTATCTCTTCTCCACAACTCACCATTACAAAGGAGAACTGCCTCAACCAACTTCAAAAAGGGGTGAAGCAACAGTATAACAGTATTCAAATTGTTGTAAGAATGTACTGCTTCATGTAAGTGGACAGTAGTGTTTTTAAAGATTGTCTCTTCTCCAACTCACCATTACAAACGAGAACTGCCCTAACCAACTTCTAAAAGGGGTGAAGCAACAGTATAACAGTATTTATATTGTTGTAAGAATGTACTTCTTCATTTAGTGGACAGTAGTATTTGAAACTATTGTCTCTTCTCCACAACTCACCATTACAAACGAGAACTGCCTCAACCAACTTCAAAAAGGGGTGAAGCAACAGTATAACACTATTTAAATTGTTGTAAGAATGTACTGCTTCATGTAAGTGGACAGTAGCGTTTATAAAGATTGTCTCTTCTCCAACTCACCATTACAAACGAGAACTGCCCTAACCAACTTCAAAAAGGGGTGAAGCAACAGTATAACAGTATTTAAATTATTGTAAGAATGTAATTCTTCATGTAGTGGACAGTAGTATTTGAAAATATTGTCTCTTCTCCACAACTCACCATTACAAACGAGAACTGCCTCAACCAACTTCAAAAAGGGGTGAAGCAACAATATAACAGTATTTAAATTGTTGGTAGAATGTACTTCTTCATGTAGTGGGCAGTAGTATTTGAAAATATTGTCTCTTCTCCACACTTCACCATTACAAACGAGAACTGCCTTAATCAACTTCAAAAAGGGGTGAAGCAATATTACTTAAATTGTTGTAAGAATGTACTGCTTCACGTAAGTGGACAGTAATATTTAAAAAGATTGTCTCCTTTTCACAACTCACCATTACAAACGAGAAATGCCTCAACCAATTTCAAAAAGGGGTGGAGCAACAGTATTTAAATTATTGTAAGAATGTACTGCTTCATGTAAGTGGACAGTAGTATTTGGAAAGATTGTCTCTTCTTCACAATTGTTGAAGATTACTTGATGTTGATGACGAAATAACTGATGTGTTTTCCTTTCGTGAACAATTCACACATTTTGAGCTAAAAGGTAATGTATAAACCGGGCCCAAAACTACTAAATCTTCAAGTTTCTCTGCACAGCTTCGCAGATGTGTAAAACGAAACAACTTGTTACTTTGGACAGTCGTTCGAGATATTTCAGAGGAAAGAAAAGACGGCAAACTTTTAATGTTCCAATCTTAATTCAAAGCTGTTGGATATAATGGGACGTTGGAACTCCCACGAAAGATATATTCGTTGATGGTGTGTATTTTCGAGTGTGACTGAGTGTGGAAGTCTGTTTAATGTTTGTTTTGTTCGGTATTGTTCGCGTTGCGAGGCTGAATCGCAGCTTTTGTCAACGGGCAGAGTTTTGGCCGATATGAACTTTGTAATATTTCAATGGAATTTGAGGTGTCGCAGATCGGGATCGCTTTGGATATATTTATTGCTTTTGGAGTTGCGGAAGGGTTTCTGCATCATGTGGATGACATGGAAACAATATTTTGATTCCAGAGTTCTATCTTTATTGCCAGTATAATATAAGGATGTCATCAGGAAACTTTTATCAAAGACCATTTTTGATCATCTGATGAATACCGTACATTCATAATATGTAATTGGTGATTCAACTGATATAGAAGTATAAATAGCATGTTGATGAAGATCATACATACAGGATTGATAAAATGTATTTTGATTTGCGGCGGTAGAATTTAGTAAAGGAACGGTGCAAGGCAGATAGTATCGATGCTATTTATTTCAAAAAAAGAGTGAAAACAAGTCAATTACCATATCTATATCACTTCATAAAAAGCTAATTGGCATCATAGACTATTCACGGGATAGATCAGGGGTATTTAGGTTGGCTGGTGGTTCTTGCTCAAAATTTCATATTGACCTTTCACAAAAAAGGCATGCGTTCAATGACGACTAGTAGAGAAAATTTTGAATATGTAATCTTTTGTAGTAGTTGGGAACATTAGATTTGAAATTCTTGAAAATTCACTAAATTACCAAGTAGAATTGAATACTTCCCCCTTACTGGATGTTTTTTCGAATGTGAAAGTTGGTTATTAGTTGATACGTGAACACAACGCCTGACTCCTCTGATCTGTTGCAGTCCACTTCAAGGAACATATAGTCCACTTAGTTTGACCAACATACTTTCTATCGCAATCCTCACAATTTAGTTCGTATAACCCAGACATTTATTCTTCCAGAACCTATATACAAAGTATGTTCCAAAAATAAGGTCATTTTTAAAATTCCCTGGGTTACTTATTGACTGACTGACTGATTGACTCACCAACTTGACTCACCGACTGACTTACTCAATTATCGACTGACTCACTGACTAATTCACTGACCGACTGACTCACTGGCCGACTGACTGACTGACTGTCTGACTTACTGATGAGCAGACCGACTGACGAGATGATCAAATGATAAGCTGATCGACTGACTCACTGAGTGACTGACTCACCGACGAGCTGACCGATTGACTCACTGACTGTTTCACTGAGTGATTGACTGACTGCGTGACTGACTCACCCACTGACTGACTAACTCACTGAATGACTGGTTTACTCACCGACCCACCAACTCACTCAGTGACTGACTGATTCACTACTGACTGGCTCATTGACTTACAGACTGGCTCACCGACTGGCTGACTGACTCACCAACTGACTGATTGGTTAACTACTGACTGACTCACTGACAGATCGACTGATCACTGACTGATTTACTCACTCACTGACTGATTCACTGACTGACCGACAGATAAATTGACGGACTGACCGACTGACTCACTGACTGACTGGGAAGAGATTCGCACAACTGCCTTCATAAATATCAACCATTCATAAAAAGATACGATCAAAGAATGATCCCCTGTAACTTTTGAGCATAACAATCATAAAAAAACGAATTTTCAGGAAGAGTATCATTATCGAACATTAATAAATTGGAAGTGACATATGTTTGACAAGTTATTTATTGGATTCACGGAGTAGTGAGGTGGAGATTTTAATTTTTCACATCTGTACAATGTTTTCCGGTACATTTTTTTAGATTGTTGAAAGTAGAAGCTTACAAAAAGAGGCCAAGCAGCTGAATTACTTTATTTGTTAGAGAAGATAAGTAAGAGGTTTCATTTTTGTTTGAAACTTGAACATTGCAAAATATGTAGGTATGTTTTGACATTCATGTTTCAATTCTGAAGTTTCATTACCAATTCGAACAACCATCCTGTAACCTCTTACACTAGCTACAAGTTCCGGGTAGAATCAGGTTTTCACTTTCCATCAATTTTTATATCGAGAAATAGCGACCGGAAGAAAATAACCCGGAAACATAAAATTTCGCGGTATCGAAATTCATCATGATTTGCTAGTGTGTGTATGTTCGTGAGGCTTCTACTTTTTATATCGAAAACTTCCTCGTTCGTGGTAATGGGAAGCGACGAGCAATTCTCGGCTTTCCGTCAAGATTTTTTCCACGGAGTCGGTATCGCTTCCATGATATTTAGTGAAGGTTTTTAAATGAAGTTTTGAAGTTTAATCTCGAGGTGGGAGAGTTGATGATGTGATTAAACGGAAGCGAGTTTGACGTTTTGGAATTTGCGAAGGCGGTTTATCATTTCAAATCATATCCAATCGGGTGAATGATTTAAATATAAATTTAACGATGGAAAAACTTTTAATTCGAG